TGGCAGGGCCTGGGGTGTCCAAGCACCCTCTGTGCCCTGGCAGGCCTCGCCTCAGCCCGGCAGCATCAGCATTGACCATGGACTTGTCAGAAATGGAGCATCTCAGGTCCGTATGTATCTACTGATCTGGAGCCTGTATTTTAGCAAGGTTCACAGATGCACACTGAAGGCTCAAAGCAGTGCTTTAGAGGGCAGGCTATTCACCTGGGCTTGGTGAAGATCCCAGATCTTAAAGTCGAAAGTCAAGCAGTAGAGGAAGGACAGGTATGTTTTCAGCTCTCAGTCAAGAAGTCTACCTTCCTTGCAGGGGTGAAAACTACCAGCAGCAGCAGCTGATTCTATCTCAAATGTGATGTCAAGTTTGCAGCACACAGAGGCTCATGACTACTAAATTTTTATTGTGAATATTTTAATCATTATAAATTGATCCCCTTTATACACTTTAATTTTAGAAAAGTAAAATTTCATGTTTCTCTGAAATTTTACTTTTCTAAAATTAAAATCACTTCTTTTTTGTTTATTCCAATATATCTTTAAACATATTTAAGTATTATTTTGTTTTTTAGAGAGTTTACATACAAATTTTGTTTTTTCAGTTTTAAAGTTAATTTTCATAGGTGATCTATTGGATGTTGCATTCTTCATCTTACTTTGTGCTTTTGGTTCTTATCCCTTTCTTGCTGTCTACCCAGCTTTGTCCTTCTAATAGACAGATTCTGTTTAACTACCGTTATCTTCTGCATTGCCTTTGAGGGTTTAGAATCCAGTTTTCTAGGGATTTTTAGAGTCATTACTGCAAAATTATGATTCGACGCTTCATGTGACTTTGAAACTCTTTTCCATCCACTACTTAGACTTAACTCTAGGTTTAATACTGATTGCTTTTCACACCACACTGTCCTTACATAGGGATTCTCACCGTGCTTTATGTTCTGTGAGTTGGAGCACATTCCCAGTCACCTTCTGGATGAAGGACAGGGGGATATTGCAGTCACTCTGTCCATAGTGTTTTTATTCACATGACGGGTAAAATCATGCCCAACATTTTTCTCCCCCAATTCTTGAAAAAGTGCTCTGTTGTCTGGAATTGATTCTTGCAAAAAATCTTAGTCCCAGTTAGTTTTATTTCTTGGTATATAGCTTTTCCCCCTGTCCAGATGTTTGAAGGATTTTTTTAATGTTATAATTTAAACTTTTTGGCAAGTTGTGCCTCCACCTGAGTCTGTGTCACTGATTTCCTCAGATGGCCATGAGTATTTTCTACCTGCATAGTAAGAGGTAATTTTTCCTCCCAGAACACCTCCTTGAATCAGCTCTGCCGTTATGGTTTCTATTCCTGTTGTTCTGATAGTTCCTCTTGGGAACACATAACTTTTAACTCTTTTGTGTCCTGTGTCCTCCAATTTAATATCTTTTCTCGCTTTATTTCTATACACTCGTCTTTTCTGAGAGAGCTCCTTCAGGTTGCGTTTATAATTGACCTTGTACAGCTGATCATTCTCTATACTTCTATGGAGAATTTAGTTCTACTTTGGCATTTTCAGTTTTGCCTTGTCCTATTCAACATGGACTTCTTTTTATTTGAGCCTAATATCCTCTGGATTCCTGCTTCTGTTTCTCAGAGGCCATGTCTTTCTGAATCCTGAGGATGTCAAACACATTTCTACAAGTTTCTTCTGGTTCTTATACCAAATGTTGTTAAGGTATTCTTTTCTTCTGTGCACGATGCCTCCTCCCCTGTGTGAAGAGGTTTTCCCATGGCCCCCTGTGGCTGCAGTGTTGCTACTGTTCTCACTTTTATTGAGGAGGGAGATTCTCAGAGTTTGCCAGTTGCTCTCGGCCCGTTTGTCCTCTTGATCGCTACTTCAGAAGAACCCCCTTCTGAATTTCATATGCGGAGATTCCAGACACTGCCTCCTGGTATTGCTCTGAGGGATGGAGAGGGATTTGTCTTTTCCTAACTGGATGGAGTAAATGTGAATCTACAATCCCCGATCCAGACAACTAAGAGGGCTGCTCTTTTCTCAGCCTCCCCTGTGACGCTTTGCTGCTGCTCCCAGCAATCAGTGCTCTAGCACCAACATTGAACACTTTATAGCAGTACAATTTTGGAATTTCTGACCCAAAATAATTCAAGATGGAAATCAGAAAGGTGGGCGGGAAAAGGGAGCTGCAGTATTGTGCCAGAAAACAATATCAATGAAATAGAGGTGTCCGAGACCCACCGTGTGGGTTATTACAGAGCTTGGGGGCTTGAACCAAGCAGCAGAAGGAAGAATGGTGGATTCTTGTTATCATCATATTAGAAACCCCAGAGCCACTAAATGTGTCAATTTCTCATTCCAATATTATCAGCCTTCTCATTTGTTGAAATCAACCCCAGGTTCTAGAAATACATGAGTAGCTAATCCTAGCTCACTGCCTCACAGTGAGTTTATACATTTTGCTTTGCTTTCATAGATATTAGGTAGAATCTTTTTTAAAAAGAAAAACTTCTTGTCTGCTTGCTGGTGATGGTGAGGCTAATTTTTGCCTCTGGAAAGAGTCAAAATAATATTGGGTATGGGGTGAAAATAAAGTACACAGAGATGTTATATGTTATATCAATTACGTACATCAGCCTGTTTCTAGATCAGTTAGCCTCCTTCTGGAATTCCTCCTGAAAGATTTTCTTTATGCACATAGTATTTTTCACACTGTGCTAGAACCATGCATGACCTTACATAAGTAATCAGCATTTCTCCCTGAGAAAAGTCTGTCGTTGTGACATCAACAGATTGAGAAGGAAGGAGCAGTTAGACTTTGGATCAGTATTGAATAGCAGAAGCGCTGAAAGCCACACACTAGCATCAACCCAGATAAATTGCCATTGCTTCCGGAACCCTAAATCATCAAATTCATACCAAGTTAATTTTCCCTGACAAATCATGCTTCCTGAGTTCTCGATAATGTTTTCACTCATCAGCAGATGACCTCTAGTAGGTGTGTACTGCAAATGTTGTCATATCATTCCTCTCTTAACTCATTTATGTATCTTCAAAATACAGATCAAACAAAATTGAAAATCACTTCACCTTGGCCTGCAAAACTCCATGTTTTAATTGCAAACAGCATAATCAAAATATTACTTAGAAATTCATTTTCTGCCTTCCAGTGTCTTCTATGGGGCTCTGAGGGAGAGATCCCTGAGAAGACAGTGATCCCAACATGAAGCATTGATTTTTTTTAAAAAAAAATATATGTCCGAATATTGCTGTTATTCTGTCAGAAGAAAAGAACAGATAGCTCCTGGGGAGAATATTCTGGGCCTTTCTTGTTTATCAGAGAAAGCTACATGTCATCCTTTAGAAATGTAGCAGTTCAAGTCGAATTTAATGTATTCAAAAATGTGACCCATCTTAAAGAATAAATCACTTTTGGAAAAGGTTTTAATGTGGCTCAGGACACTACGTCCTTCCTGACAGCCTTTAAAGAGCATCTCTTCCTGCAGCCATGGATGAGGGAAGCAAGCTGCTATTCAATAAGGCCTTTTTCAGGGTCTCTTTTCTCTCCATGTTACTTTCACATCAGGTAGCACCATCCTTTGGTTTGGTTTCACTCTCTCTGTCTTGGTGGAAATGTGGTGTGGTCAGTTACAGATCTCTACAGAGAGCTTAAAGCTCTGAGAGAGAGTTTCAGAGTTGATTTGATGCCAGCAGTGAGAGCAGAACTGTGGAAATCTACCATTCTGATCATGATACATTCGGATGAATGGAAGGTGACCATGGATAAGATTAACTAATCCAGACTCTGGGAGATGACCCTATGTGGAGCCAGTTTGTTCTTGTTCTGATGAAACCGTGTGGCAAGAGCTCACCTGAGCCGGTGAGGGTGGGGCTCCCCATCCTAGAAGACTAGCTAAGCATCCTGTCAATCATCTTGGGAAGCTGTCCATCCTGGAGTGGGAGATGAGGCAGAATTTGGGGTGGGGGAAGCAGGGGCCTCCTCATCCCTCAAAGCCATGGGCAGTTGGGTCAGGATTCAGGGCTGAAAGTGCCTGGAACAGCTCTGGCTGAGAAAAAGGTAGGGTCTCCCTCATCTGCAGAGTGAGTGTTCAGAGAAGGCACTGACCGTCTGCTTTTAATTGGTAGTAGAAGGAGCAGCGGCAGCAATGCAGGGCAGGTGGGCAATCCGGGGATGGGAAGCAGGTGTGCTGGTGGGGGTGAAAGGGGCCTGATTGCCGCCTGGACTTGAGGAGAGGCTATCCTCTTCCTGAGCCATACCAGTGGATGCCAGGCATGCCCATCAGTGTGGCTCTATGCCAGTTCTGGCGGCGAGGCAAGAATGGACAGAGTGTCCTGGAGTCCCAGAAGGCCGTCTCCTGGGACAACCTCAGAAATGCTTTGCAAGGAGGGGTGCTTTAGACACCTAGTCCCAGGGCCCATGCAAGTATGACAGTAAGGCACACGCAGAAAGGAGGGGCAATCTCATTCCACAGGCAGACAAAGCCAGTCACGGGGCTACCCCAGAGTCCCCAGGTCACCTGCTGTAGATTCAAAGCTTCCGGTATTCAAAAACACTCATCTTTTCACCCATGCAGCTGGCCTTCCTTTCCTTAAAACTGTGAATCCTACTACTTTAAATGTACTCAACATAAGCGTGTTTATAATTTAAAAGTTAGAGATGCCGCTTAGAAAAAAAGACTTGGAAGTCAGCAGCAGCAGGTAAAGACCTCTGCATGCATAAGCTAATGTTAACGCTTGTGTCATTCCTATGAGGCATTTTAAATTAGCACAAACCCCATGGAGTTCAGTTTATTTATGTGGCTAGACCATAGTGAAATATTGATGACGGGATATATGTTTGGAGATTTGGGTTGTCTGGCCTCCTAAGTCAATTTATGAAAATTCCTGCAAAACCTGGGGATCATCTCGGTCTGTCGTACTTTATTGCTTAATTAGCAGGTTGTCAGAAAGTGGTGCCACATAAACTGAGTGACGCTTTTTCTCCTGTTCACTTACTTTTTATCGGGATAATGAGCTGTGGAAGGACAGGTAGTATCTTGTTCCCACCGTGTTCCAGCATGTCGTGGATTCCTTGCCGAGCAAAAAACTCATAGGGAAATGTCATTTCACAAAGCCCATCAAAAAACAGAGGCAGATAATGATGGTAATCCAGCTTCTCAATTTCTACCTGAAAGTGGAGAGACAAGAAACACCATGTGAAAACAGCAGTTGGCAGAGCATGGCAGACGAGCTGTGTAGCTGTCGCCCACTGCAGAGGGGCGTGCTCTTTAGAACTTCAGGAAGACTTTCCTAAGCAATGCACCTAATGACCTGAAGTATGTCATCATGTCCTTAATCTATTATCAATGAGGTTAAAGTCATGGACCTTTAAATCTTAACAGTCAAATCTCCCATCTACATATAATGCACATTAAGAGTGTTTTAATAATTTGTTGCTTTTTTGTTAATTTGTTACCATTTGGCTCAAGTATGATATTGAACAGGAGTCAAGAAGCCTCTAGAATGTTTGCTGAAAAGATCCATGTAAGAATAAAATGAAAGAGACTGTGCATGGTGGCTCATGACTGTAATCCCAGCACTTTGGGAGGCCAAGGCGGGCAGATCACCCAAGTTGGGGAGTTCAAGACCAGACTGACTAACATGGAGAAACCCCTTCTCTACTAAAAATATAAAATTAGCTGAAAGTGGTGGTGCATGCCTGTCATCCCAGCTACTTGGGAGGCTGAGGCAGGAGAATCGCTTGAACCCAGGAGGCAGAGGTTGCAGTGAGCTAAGACCGTGCATTGCACTCAAGGGTGGGCAGTGAGAGGAAAACAAAAAAGAAAAAAAGAGAAAGAGAAAGCAAAGAAAAAAAAGAAAGAAAGAAAGAGGGAGGGAGGGAGGGAGGAAGGAAGGAATGAGGGAGGGAGGGAGGGAGGGATGGAAGGAAGGAAGGAAGACAGGCAGGCAGCTGAAAAAGATTGATGCCCAAGGTTCTAAGGAGAACGCTACAGGAGTGGATGCGCATGTGTTCTTGGGAGGTATGTGTGTCTTCTTCGGGGCAAACAGGAGAGTGGGAGGTCAAAGCTGATTCCTGGCTTGTTCACCAGAGCCTGGATGACAACTAGAATATTCAGACCATCAAGAGAAATGGAGAGGACAAAGAGTGGGCTGAACCTGAGCTGACTGACACCTCAAAGCCAAAACATCTCAACCTCACCTTGCCTGCTTCTTCTGGGAGCAGAGACAAATCTCTTTCCCACATCTCCATCCATTACCCTCAGTGTCTCTCCATGTCCCCCAGTCCAGACCTTGGCAGTAGCACCCAGCACCACCAGGGCATGGGAACTCAAATTCTGGAGTTGAGAAAACAGATTGTGAGTTGGGAAGCAACTTCCTGAAGAAGATTTGGTCTTGCTTGAGCCCTCCACTGTCTACCTGTGACCTGAGCTACCACCAGCAAGGTGGCAGAGCTGAAGGTGAGAGTATAGTTGGAAAGGAGACCACAGACTCACTGCAGGTATAACACGTCTACACAGAGCAAGGGATGGGGCCCCCACAGCAAGAGGTGATAATTTCCTTGGTTTTCAAATCCTAATGAATGCACCCAGCTTCTAGTTACCACATTCTAATCGAGTGAGGAGCCCATCAAGACCTTTGAGAAACTCCCTTTTACATTAGTAGGAGATTTTAAAAAAATTATTGACAAATTACATGTATATAGATAAATTATATATATATTCCCTATGTGAAGACAAATCATACATATATTTATTCCTTATATATATTCCATTCTGATTTTGTAATCAAAATTTGCAATACCACATAGTGCGAGGTTTTTGTACCGTTCACCTCTCTCTCAGCATTCTAGAGTCTCACACCACATGCTTGCCTATCCTGGGTATGGGCAACTGGTAATGAACCTATCCTGTTCCTGAGTGTCTACTGTGGGTCGAGGTGAATCAAATTTGCTTCAGTTACCCAAGCAGGAGGCCTGTCTACAGTCTGCTCACAGACTTCCCACTTACAATGCATGTTTAGGTAGGAGCTGGGGATGTAAAGGGAGTCCAGCCAACCAAGGAAGCAAGCAGGTAAGAGGTGACATCCAAATCCTCTCTTGGAACTGAAGCATAGAAAAAAAATCTCTATACAAAACTACTTTATTTTCCCTTTATATTTATAAAGTTTACTTTGTTCAGTATACATTTATGGAATGCATATTTAATTTTTTTCAGAGATTTATATGCATATGGAAATATTTTAAAACATTATTTTGTACAATTTGAAAAAGTTATTTTTTCTTAGGTCCTAAAGGCCCAGTGTTGTAATGTATAATTTTACCTTGTATACTAACTTCATAATAAAAAATGTCATCTATAGTATATTTTTAAAACATTTTTGGGGCCGGGAGTGGTGGCTCATGCCTGTAATCCCAGCACTTTGGGAGGCCGAGGTGGGTGGATCATGAGGTCAGGAGTTCGAGATCAGCCCGATCCATATGGTGAAACCCTGTCTCTACTAAAAATACAAAAATTTGCCTGGTGTGGTGACACACACCTATAATCCCAGCTACTCAGGAGGCTGAGGCAGGAGAATCGATTGAACCCAGCAGGTGGAGGTTGCAGTGAGCTGAGATTGCACCACAGCACTCCTGCCTAGGCAACAGAGCAAGACTCCAACTCAAGAAAAAAATTTTTTTTGTATGTTTTGCTAATTTTTTTCAGCTCATTGTCACACTTTTACGAGTGTTTCTTTTAAGTCTAAAATTAAATTTTGTATTTTACTGTGTGATCTAAGATGCTGTATTTTAATACATTAAGTAATTTACATTTATGGCCTAATTTAACTTCTGTCATCTTATTTTTTTGGTCTCTGGTTGTTTTTTATTTACTTTTTTCTTGATATTTTGTAGTTTTGTTACATAACATTATGTTATGTATGTACACACATTATGTTTTATTTACTTTTTTGTAATGACTTTAAATGTGAGACATCCTGTTCAAATATTTTATTGCAGCTATCTTAAACATTTCCAAACTTATATTTATCTTAGTGAGAAAAGCAAGTTACACATCTTCTACTAAGACTGTTGACATGTCTGTTTTTCCTTGGAATTCTATTTTTTCTTTATGTGTTTTGGGACAACAATACTAACATCAACAAAAGCAGCAATAATAACACCAATGTTTGTGATGCCAGACACTATTGTACACACTGTGCTAGTTCATTTGATCCTCAAGCAGCTGAAATAAATAGGCATTATTAATATCCTAATTTTCAACATGAGGAAACTGAAACAGAAAGAAATTTAATAATTTGCCTAAGGTCTGCAGCTAGTCAGTGCTGGAGCTAGGTTTCAAGCCCAAGCAATCTGGCTATATGACATGGTACTGCCTCTCAGGCTTTGTTGTTTGGCACATTGAAGTTCAGCATTATTATAACCTCCTGGTAAATTGTTCTGTTTATCCTTGTGTCCCTATCCTCTTTATCATTACTGATGCAGTTTGTCTCAGTGCAACATAATATTAATATTTCTGTTACTGGTTTATCTATCACATCTTTTTCTATCCTTTTGCTTTCTTCCTTCCTCTGACATTAGATTTTAAGGGTCTCTCTGAAGTAACTTATACATAGATTTGTTTTTCCCCTTTTTACTTTATGATGTGCCTTCACATAACAAATACTGAGTATCTGCATAATTCCTATTCTCAAAATTTTGAAAAAATAAAGTTATGAGGAAAGAGAAAAAGGAAGCAATTAAAAGACAGAAAAGTCAAATTAAAGATTGAGAGAGATGGAGAAAGAAAAAAAATTATCTCTATATCTTTATATCCTCCAATATCACTGACCACAGTAGTTCTTTCCTACCAAAAATTCTCTTCTCACTAGTTCTTTTCTTCTTCTTCTTCTTTTTTTCCCCCCCTGAGACAGAGTTTTGCTCTTGTTGCCCAGACTGGAGTGCAATGGTGTGATCTCAGCTCACTGCAACCTCTGTCTCCTGAGTTCAAATGATTCTCCTGCCTCAGCTTCCTGAGTAGCTGGGATTACAGGCATGCACCACCATACTCGGTTAATTTTGTACTGTATTTTAGTGGAGATTTTTTTTTTTTATTAGAGATCACCTGGCCTCAGGTGATCTACCCACCTGGCCTTCCAAAGTGCTGGCATTATAGGCATGAGCCAGTGCACCCAGCCTTCATTGGTTCTTTTTATGACCTGTTTGTACATTATTTGGCATCTCTGTTGTCATTGCAAATATGTTGCCTTAATATTAGAACAACAGGTGGGGATCCACCACCTCATCTCACTGCCACCAGAGACACAGACATGCCTTTTGTTCAACTGACTCTGGAACTATGTGAGGAACTGCTGGATTCCATAGTGCCCAACAGGCAGCTCTCACCTGACTGCCAAAGAGCTGCAGGGCTTGAGGACTGCCGTTCCGAGGTGAATGTACATAATCCTGCTTGGAAGGCTGCCACTCTGATTGATGAAGAGGCAAGGAAATTCTTTTCCTTTTCAGCTGTTTATAGCTTAGAGGTCAGGTAAAGTATAATTTTGTGAGCAAAATTTACGTTTTTCTCTACCTGAGTTACCCTAAATTTAAAAACCATTTATGAGTATTCTTATCTGATAGCAATATAGTTATTTATATAAGTTCAGTAAGAATCTGTTTTCTAACAGGGCATAATTGGAGACACTGGTTATTTTGCCAAGGCTTTGACTGGAATGGCATATTTTCAGAATTGACCAAACTGAGGAATGGAGGTTGACTTTATATAGTCTTTCTAGGAGAGACTGGCCTAGTACCTTGTCTAAATGGTTCTCTTACAAGATTTCTGACCTGTGGTAAGTAAAGAATGTCATTTTCTAGCAGGCCTGTTAACCTCAAGATATTTGGGGACCTCAAGAAGAGACGAATTTGTACAGGTATTACATACACAGTCTAACGGCGAATCCTTGGTTCTTAGCCTTGAGGTTTTACAAAAGTAGAATGCACAGTTCCTTATAAAAGTTCCAGCAAAGCCTACCTAAAAAGAACCTACCAGTCTGGACAACATATTGATACCCTGTTTCTACAAAAAATAAAAAATTAGCCAGAGTGATAGCACACACCTGTGGTCCTGGCTACTTGGGAGGCTGAGATGGGAGGATTGCTGGGGCTTAGGAGGTCAAGGCTGCAATGAGCCGAGATTGTGCCACTGCACTCTAGTCTGCGTGACAGAGGGAGGCCCTGTCTTAAAAAAAAAAAAAAAAAAGCAGATCAGGCTGATCACTATTCTTGCCACATTTTATGCAAATAACCAGGCCCCATATAATGAGACCAAATTTTATTTTGAAAATAAATTGGCCCTATTATGATTTATCCTTAGCAGAAATGGGGAAACTAGAGATTAAAAAAATTTGGATTCTAGCCTTCACCACTGTTTTCGGGTTTTTATTATTTGCCTACAATTTGGGCTAAATCCTGAATTATTTCCAATCTGCAAGTCTAAAGAGGAACCAGGTTTTAATTTTCTTCATAATACTTTTAGTTGGCTCTTTAATGAAATAAGTGTTTTTTTGTTGTTGTTCTGGGATACAAATTCTCTTTTGACTATAATCCTTGAGCACAAATTATTAATGTTATTTATCTCTCACTGTATAACTCCTGAGAAAACCGAAGTCATGGTATTCTGAAGACTAGAGGTAATTCAACAGCCTGTGACCCTCCCTCATTTGGAATCCCACTGGGCCTGATCTATTTTTCATTGCCAAAGCACTGCTGCTACACCTTGACAAAATCAAGCACTCTCTCTAAGGCTCAGGGACAATGGTGGAAGAGGGCATGAGAGATTTAAGAGCCTCATTAGAGGGGTGGAGTGTGGAAGCCAAAGCAACTCCACCCTGGGTGCTAATCTGCCATGTTGGCTTCTGATTAACCTCATTTCCGGGAATGCCTCTGAGATTTCCAGTTTACCTACTGCTCCTTGTGTAAGAGCACCTACTTACCATAAATCCCACCAAATTCCTGGCCATTCCTTCTGAAGTGTGTGTGCCCCTGACAGCACATAAGCCCTGCGTCTGGGGGAGTAATGGCGCAGGATCCACCATCTCATCTCATCACTGCCAGGGGCACAGACATGGCTTCTCTTTATAAGTCCCTATTCAAAGTTTCTTTCCAAGCAACTAGATTTGTCTGTCTCTTTCTTTAGCTTCTCAGCCTCCTCCAACTTTGGGGTAGGTTGGCACAGACCTGTGCACCATGAAACAATGGCTGAACAATGTTCTGTTGCATGCACTTAACACATTTTGGTTCTCCATTAATTCACTGACAGACATTTGGGTTGCTTCTGCAATTTTGTTATTGTGAATAACGCTGCTATGAATATTACTGGACAAGTTTTTGTTTGAACATCTGGTTTCGATTCCTTTTTTGATTCCTTTGGATATATACCTAGGAGTGCAGATGCTGTGTTGTATGGGAGTTGCACATTTAGTTTTAGAAGAAACTGCCAAGCTGCTTCCAGAATAGCTGTACCATTTTGTATTCCCGCCAGCCATGTACAAGGGCTCCAATTTCTCCACATTCTTGCCAACACTTGTTATTTTCCATAGTTTTGATTATGGCCATGCTAATGTGTGTGAAATGGTATTTCCTATGGTTTAGATTTTCATTTTCCTAATGACTAGGATGTGGTGCACTTGATACTTGACACAACATAGACAAACCTTGAAAACATTTTTCTAAGTGAGGGAAGCCAGTCACAAAAGACCACATACTGTACAATCCAATTTACATGAAAGGTTCGGAATAGACAAATTCAAGAGACAGAAAGTGGTTCCTTAAGAGCTGGGGGGAAGGATAATGGGAAGTGACTGCTCAACGGGCATGGGGTTTCCATTTGGGGTGATAAAAAGTTCTGGAACTAGATGGTGGTCATGGTCACACATTATGAATGCACTTAATGCCACTGAAGTGTACACTTAGAAATGGTAAAAATGGCAAGTTTTATGTGTATTTTACCATGATAAAAATGCCAAAGAAAAGATAAAATTTAAAAAAACAACAAAATAATAGAATAACAATTTGTCATTGTATTTTGAGACACAAACTTTTTTTAACATTGTAGATACAGTTCTACTTGCTGCAAGGTGATTTTTTATAAGTAAATTCCTTCTACATATCTTCCAGGGTTCTTTTTTATTATAATAAGTTTGTTTTCAGTTGGTGAACTTGGTCTAGGCTTTGGTAAGCTCTCTTATATTCCATTAACCATCAGGCACTTGTTTGCATGTATGTGTGCCTGTGTGTGTATGCGTGTGGGTACAAGTGTGTGTGTGCATGTATGTATATATGTGTGTGTGCATGTGTGTATAGGTGTGCATGTGTGTTTTAATAATATATCTGACTTCTGTCAAATGTACTTTTTCTGAAAAGCCCCAGTCCCACACTGTCCCCAGTCCCAGCTCCATTTCCACACTCTCCCGCAGTAGCCCCTCCATTTTCACATTGTTCTTCACAGTAAAATATTTCAAAAGAATTCTTTACCATCACTGCCTTCGCTTCCTCATTCCCATTCCCTCTTTAACCCACTCCCCACCATTTCACTGAAGCTGTTTTTATCAAGGTCACTAGTGACTTTCTTTGTGTCTAATCTCAAATCCCCTTTCTGTTCTCCTCAGCACAACACAGTTGACCTGGTGAAGTTGTACCCCTAACACTGGGAGGTCACCCTAATTCCCTCCCTTCCAATCCCTGGTCTGGCCTGACCTCACCGGTTCTGAGACAGCCAAGTGGGAAGGGGTCCTTGGAGAATGTCCATCCTCTTCAACTGACCTGCCCACTAGGAGGAGCCACAAGAGTTCCCAGCATTTGCGGCAGGGAGGAGCCTGGCCCCTCTCCTTCCTGTGTGGAAACCAGGATTCTAATGGCTGGGTGGGAGGTGCCCTAGCAGCAACTCTGGCCTAGCAAGAGTCACTGTTTCCCTCTTGTCTTTCTTTTTCACCCAATAATACCCTGTCTTACTCATTCAAATTCAAATTGTCTGTGAGCCTGAATTTTCATGGCCATGGGACAAAAATCCCTGTCTTTAGCTGAACTAAAGGAAAGTTCTGCTGCAGTTCCTCCTTAGAGACTCTTCAAATGCATAATGTCTTGAGCCCAGGCTACCAGAACAAATACCATGGACAGGGTGGCTTCAAAAACAGACGTGTTTTCTCACAGTTCTGGAGGCTGGAAATTGCTGACTACGTCAACATAGTTGGGGTTTGTGGAGGGAACTCCTCCTCACTTATAGACTGTGCAAATGGTCGTCTTCCCAATGTGTCCTCACAGGGCCTTTCCTCTGTGTACATGCAGAGAGAGAGCTCTGGTCTTTCTCTTCTTATAAAGGCAATAGTCCTATTGGGCTAAGGCCCTGCCCTTAGGATCTCACTTTAACCCTTATTACCTCCATCTAGGCCCCATCTCCAAATACCGTCACATTGGGATTTGCCCTTCAACATAATGAATTGTAGGGGAGCAGTGAGGCATGATTCAGTCCATAGCACACCGCTCTCCTCTCCAGACCTCTCTCTCTGTCACTGGCAAGTCCTTTCATCTCAATTTCAGTTCTGTGAGGCCATCCTACCCTTGTCTATCACCCTGTTTGATTTTTTTTTGTAGCCTCATCATTTATTCATTACAGTTTCTTAAGTTCTGTTGTTTAGGGAGCTTGTCATTGCCTAGATGAGTGCTGGGCACACAATAGGTGGATATTCAATAGGCATGTGTTGAATTTTAATTCTGAACTTTGGAATCTGCCCTGTGTTAACTTCCTTGAGAGGGCTGCCTCACTAAGGAACAATGGCCAGATGATGAGTGGTTGTGCCTCAGCCAGAGGGAGGGCAGCTGCACCCAGGGTCTGCTGTTTAACACTGACTCTGTACCATGAAGGAGGATGCAAGTTTCTATAAATTCACGTATTCTACAACCTTATATATTCTGCAAATAAAATACTATTTTTCTCTTATTAGCATTGCAGTGATTATTTACATTTCAGGAATTTTATCACTATTATAATAGACAAGATGGGCTTCCTGACCCTTGTGTTTACCCTTATTTCACTAGAAATCATTCAGGGCATAATTGGCTATTCTGAGTTTTCTTGTATTTTTTAAATTGATATCTAATAGTTGTACATTTAAAAAATTCCATTTACTTTTAAAACTTTGGCAACATTTCTGTTTTTTATAATATCAAATACAAACATATTAAAATTTGTCCATATAAATAACAATAAGAGGTCCTTATTTTTTTTTAAAGATGATAAGAATAATTTAAGATTAAAACCAAAATTTGAAGAAGAGATAAATGAGGAAATCCCTTATCTTTGAGTGTGTGTGTGTGTGTGTGTGTGTATGTGTCACACTGTGACTACTATTTCTAAGAGTTCTCAATTGTTGGCGCCTTTTGTTAATTTAGATTCACAAAAAGTCATTTTTAAGGTTTATGTGACAACGAACCTTATTTTAGCTAAGGCGTTTCAGTAAATTTTTCATGCTTAGGACAACTAGTTTATTTACCATAAAAATAGTAGTTTTCAAATTTGGGGATCTTTCTTTAAAGTTTAAGAAATCCAGAATTAAAAGAAAATTGCTCACAGTGGGGCATAGAGCAAGAAGAACTGTTTTAGACATACCTGTTAAAATTATATGTTAATACCCAGATTAATGACTACATTGATATTAGCTCCACAAAGGTGAAGTGTTTTTACTCATAAAATTTATCTTTAAAATTCATGTTTTATAACTTTTTAAAGATCACATAGTACCTACTATGTGACCTTTAAATCTTACAGTGACCTTTGGTCAGAAGCAATGAAATTTTAACTTGACCTTGCCTGTCAAATATTTATCCCCATAACAAATGTGTAAGGTAATAATGTTATACTGAAACATTAGAAACACAGTGAGGTTGTATTAGTCCATTTTCACACTGCTGTAAAGAAATACCCAAGGCTGAGTAATTTATAAATGAAAGAGGTTTAATGGACTCACACTTCTGCATGGCAGGGGAGACCTCAGAAAGCTTACAATCATGGTGGAAGCCAAGGAGAACTCACTCACTATCATAAGAACAGCATGGGGGAAACTGCCCCCATGATCCAGTCACCTCCTACCAGGTTCCTCCCTCAACATGTGGAGATTACAATTTGAGATGAGATTTGGGTGGAGACACAGAGCCAAACTATATCAGAGATTAATGACTTTCATGAAAAAACTCAAATCTGAGACTGACTCTTATGCTTTCCATATCTTTGCTTCTATTAGCAATTAAAATTTCATTGAAAATATCTGTACTTATGACTGCTGTTATAATTACCAAGGATCTTGCTCAGAAACACAAATTAATCTGAAAAAGCATAATTATCTGTTAATATATTATAACCTCCTTTGGACTTATTGTGGCATTTCTAAAATAAAGACTTAACAGTGTCTCTCTACCCTTGAGGCAGCTATTGAGTTATTGCAAGAGGTCTTACAAATTACATAGGCATTAATCACTGTCTACAGAAAATACATATAATATATTTTATAAGTAGATGTACTATTATTTTTCAAATGTGTGTGAATACAGCTGTGATGAATAACTGAAAATAATTTCTCATCATATTTTTCAATGATATTGGATATACAACTAAAATCATACAGTACATGAGATTTTTAATGCTAAAATTCAGACTTTTTAACATGAAAAATGCTCTTAAGGGTAAAAATGCAGCAAATTTCAGGCAAGATGGCACACAAGACTGAAATGGACCCATCAACTGCTACAGTCTTTAAAAAAAAAAAAACAAAAATAAAATGTGCCCAATGCAAAGCTGAGCTCAAGAAATCCTCAGATGCTAGAGATAAAGACAAAATCCAGTCACAGAAATGAGCTCCAGCTGATTCCAGGAGATCCCAGGAAGTATCACATTAGATCATGAAACTGGGAATAAGGTTTTAATGTCTTAGAAAAACAGAGCATTTGGTGAGAGAAGGGAATTAATCCGAGACTCCCACATACAACCAGGACACTTGAAGCGCTGCCTCACCTGTGAAAAAGAAACTGGAAAATCTCTTCCCACTACTTTGTGGAAACAGAAAGAGAGCTTGGTGTTTGACAAAGCTCTCAATGGGACAAACCTCCATTGAGAAATAGAAACCTAGGAAATCAAAAGCTCAGAAATTAAGGGAAAAAATTAGTCTCAGATGTTGAAAGGGAAATTCTTGGGGCCTGGGCACAACCAAATGCAAAAACGTGAACACTTACATAATCTTGTACATGGGACTGGCACAGAAAATGCAACCCATAATACAGATGAGCTCACAATGGAAAATTTATCACTATTGTGACAATGGAGTCTCCAAAAGGAAGAAGACTCAATAGACCAATAAGCATGGAAACGAGCTCTGAAGGTAACAACTGGAAACAGAAGAATTCAATCTCAAATAATTTAAAATGCTTAACAGGGAAAAATATTTCACTTAAAAATACAACTTTTAGAAAAAAATATAATGTCATTAACTTAAAAATTCAGTAGCTAGGTTGAACAATAAATTAGCCACAAATGAAAAAAGCATTAGTAATCTGGATCATGGAGCTGGGAGGAGCACGGAGACAGCGCAGAGAGGTAAGGCAATGGGAAAGATCGCAGGAAGTCCCCAGACCCAAGGCACCCACGCTCCCCTGAGTGACTAACAGAGCTGCAGAGGAAAGGATAGATCATGGGGAAAGACAATATTTGAAGCAACAATGACTGGGAATTTTTAATAATTGAAGAAAGATGTGAATATTCAGACGGAAAATGCAGATCTAGACACTTTACAGAAACGCTATGAAAGTCCAAAGTCAAGGAAAAAGCAACTAGAAACAAAAGACAGTTTATAATAAAAGATCCAAATTAGACTGAAATTAATTTCTCATTAATAAAATGGAGGTCAGAGAAAAGGGTAAAAAAATGTTCAGTATGCTCAAAGAACAAAAATGATTCATTTACAGTACAACTTAGTAAAATAATCATTCAAAAATAAAGACAAATCAAATGTATTTGATTGAGACTGAGGGGTATTTTTTTTAACCCCTGAATCATCAACTTTACCAAAGGATAAGTTTATTAAAAAGTAACTTGAACACAGGACAAAGAGATGAGATGAAAGAACTAATAGTGGATAAATTGTTGAATGTATTAAGACTAAATAAGCAGTGACTATCACAAGTGCTTTAAATCATCAGTATGGCGGGTTTACAAATCGGGGCTAAGATACTAGAAAGGAATAGCAGGGAAGCTGAGAGGAAGGTAATCTGGGTCAAAGGTAATAGCTGTGCCTTGAATGAGGTAAGGATAAAGTTATTAATAACCTTTAGACATCAAATAAGCATATGAAAGTTTAGGAATACCTATTCTGAAAGATAAAATGAATTTCCAAGAGAATAGAGAAGAGAGAATGAATAAAACTATATCAGCATTCTCTCAAAGGCTCGTTAAACATTCTCCTGTTCCCAAGAAAAAAATATGGAATATACATAGAATGCATCCAAATATGTACCTTATCATAAAAAGTGTAAGTGAATTAAATGCTCTTATTAAAAGAGATTACCATAAAAGGGAAAACGTCCTTCAGTTCTGAATTGGTTTAGAAGGTGCACACTCAAAATATAATGACAATGAAAGGTGGAAAATAAAGGTGAGGTTAAAAAAAAATAGCATCTTGTAGGATAAATTCCTGGCAGAGGAACTGTTTCATCAATGGGTATACATATTGGTCATTTTGATATATATTGCCAAGTGGTGCTTCACAGAGATGGTACCAAATTACATTCCTATAAAAAATAAATGACTACCCGTTTTTCTAATGTCTATCCAAAGAGAATGCTATCAAGGTTTTATTCTTAACAATATTACAGTTAAAAATGTTATTTTAGGTTTATTTCTCTTACTATGAGAATAATTATATTTTAAAGCTAATTTTGAAAGTCATTTGTATATCCTTTTCTGAGAAATGTATTTTCATATCTTTTGCTGTTTTTTCTCTGCTGAGGCATTGGCCTATTTCAAAAGAGTTCTATTATATTAGGGAGATTAGTCTTGAGTGTGGTAGGAGTTTTCATTTTTTTCTCTTGCCATGACAATTTTTAAAATGTTTTTGAATTCATTAATCTTTTATGGATGCTGATTTTTGAGTCATCATTAGAAAGATTTCCCCCATTTTGTAGCATAAAGAATAGAAACAATCAGAAAAGAAAATTTATAATGGTTTGTTCTAATACTTTTATAATTTATTTTGTTTACATTTACATCATTAGTCTATTTGTAACTTTTCCTGGTGTAAATGTAAGGTAGATTTCCAACTGTGGTTTCTTTTTTAGGTCATATCCAGTTGTCTTGTTATATTTCTTGACTAGCTCTCTAGTGATTGGAGGTTTCACCTTATCAAAAATTTCTATTTCTTGACACTCTATTGTGTTTCACTGACCTGTCTTCCTTATTTGTGAATAGCACCATTTTGATCCGGTTATCACACCTGTTTACATGATTTTAATATTTGGTAGGCTGGTCCCTTTATATTACTTTCCTAGGTTTCTTATTATTATTGCCATAATTTGTTTACTTTTTCATATAAAGTTTAGACATAAATTTTAGATGTAAGTTTGTCTCAATGGACCTACATAGAACCTTGCATTCAACAATTAGATAAAACTCATTCTTTACAAGCATATAAGGACTATTTTGGAAAACTGAGTAAGCACTGAGCCACAAAACAAGTCTTAAGAAATTCCAAAATATCTATGTCTTACATGTCACATTTTCTGCAGAAAATTAAATAAAATAACGAATCATGAACTAAAAGATAGCCAAACTTTTCATTTCCTACATATTTGGAAATTTAGGAACACTTTAAAATCACTCAGAGATCAAGGAGAAAACCATTATAGAAAGAACAACATGTTAAGAATTGAATCCCAATGAAATGACTTAACCTCCAA